GTATCAAATTTGCGCCATATGTTCTACAATCGTCATACTTCCCACAGTTTGGCTCAGAAATCTCAGCCTGCTTTCATACGTTTCACGTCTGTAATAGAAGCTTTGTTTTTTGTTTTTTTTTTTTCCTTTACTTTTTTGGTTTTTCGAGCCTCATATTTTTCTTTCTTTTCGGGGGTGTTTTTTTCCAGTTGGTGGTGTGGTGACATTAGCCCTTGTGGTGCTCTGTTTGCTCTGGGTTGGCGTGGCTTCGGATCTCGGATTTCACCCGAGCGGAAGAGCATTGAATTTTTCAAATATTCCTATAACGATCGGTATATATAGCTTTTGCTATGGAAGCCATTCGGTTTTTCCGAACATATATTCGTCCATGAAGGAGCCTTCTCGATTTCCTTCAGTGCTAGTTATCAGGTAATTTCACACGTTTCATTGTATAACCGATAGAAATCTTACTATTTTTCGATCATTTTTTTTTTTTAACTTTTTACGAGCTTTGATATGTCGATGAAGCTTTGTTATTGCCGGTTTACTCTATGCCGGCATAGCCGTTTGCGGATATTTGATGTTCGGTGAAGCCACGAATCCCCAATTCACATTAAACCTACCGACAAACTTCATCGCGTCCAATATTGCAGGATGGGCCGTGGTAATTAACAATGCGAAATCTTTTTCCTTTTTTTTTTTTAAATAACCGGTATGAACAATCGAACTTTTTGTTTTTTATCGTACTTTTTTAAGGTAGTAGCCCCTGTTACGAAATTCGCCTTGTCAATAACGCCAGTCGCGTTGAGTATAGAAGAGCTATTGCCCGAGGCTTATCTTAGGTCACACGGCACGTCTATAATGATTCGAACGGGTTTAGTGGTCTCGACTCTAATAGTTGCGCTAACTGTCCCATACTTTGGTAAGCACATCGACGATTTTAATATATATGTTTTTTCGCTAGTCTGTAATGTGATTTTGAGGTTTTTGTAGTTAAATTAATGGATAAAACGCGTGTTAATTTCAGGATCCGTGATGGCTCTGATTGGATCGTTCCTCGTGATGCTAGTCGTAAGTTTGGTTCGATTATTCCAAGTTATACGAGTCGTATCTTGAAATTGACTCTTGTGCTAAACAAATTCATATTTTTGCTGTTTTTTTTTTGTTTGTTTTGCTTGACATGAAACAGTCTGTTGTGCTGCCATGTGCTTGCTACATGAGAATAGACAGAGAAAGACTAAACAGACTCGAGGTTGATTTTTTATCGAAAGAAAAGTTTCACCTACAATTGAAACTGAATTCTTGGAACCGAATTTGATAATATATATATTTTCTTTTCCGGTTTGGATTTTTCGTCAGATTGCGACGTGCTCAGTGATAATAGTCGTGGGAATCGTTTGCGCGGTCGTGGGCACGTGCTCGGCAATCAAGAGTATGTCTGGCTGATTTATAGCAGCAAAGGTACCATAGAATTGGAAGAATGAGTTATGGTGAAGTGAAGTTTGATGAGTGGTTTGACAAAATTAACGAATCAAAATAATATGGCTGACTAAACGTTAGACCTGTCTAACCGTAGTCATGCTGAACATGTAATTTTCTTGGTATTTTTTGTGGAATTATTGGATTTAGAAACGTGTGCACTCAAGCTGATACGCTGGCCGGCCGGAAAAAGTCCTCTTCCGTTCTAGCCCGGCCCATGCGGCAAAAAATGATGTAAATTATATATAACCGGCCCAACCGGCACTGTCAAACCGGTCCTCACCGATGAACACACTCATGTTTTGTATGCTTGGTTGAAAAAAAAAGGTTCATTGTTTTTAAGTTAAGTAGGTTTTTATTATTATTATTATTTTTTTTTTAAGTTAAGTAGGGTTAACATAACAACATGCTAAATTGTGTAACTTTTTTTCTAGACCCTCTCAAGATATAGGTGCTAGAGGCCAAACCAGTTTTGCTTTTTCAACAAAAAAGAACAAGTGCTCAACTTAAATAATATTTTGTCACTAATTATAAATAAAATTAAAATTTAAATATAATAAACATCTACACCATTTCCCAAAACTCATGTTTTGTATACTTGGTTTACGGGAGGTTTTATTCTAGTTTGTGTATTAGGCGTGAGTTGTTTATATCTTCCTTTTCTTTGTTTTTCACTTTAAATCAAGTTGGGTTTTATTCTAGTTTGTGTATTAGGTGTGAGTTTTTTTATCTTTCTTTTCTTTGTTTTTTCACTTTAAGTCAAGTTGCGTCTGCTATCTAGTCTTCATTATCGAGTTCTAGTCTCCTTCATGTGTGTCAAGGGGTAGGTCCAAATTCTCAAGTTGTGTCTGCTATCTAGTCTTCATTATCGAGTTCTAGTCTCCTTCATGTGTGTCAAGGGGTAGGTCCAAATTCTCTGAGAATAGTATAGAAGAGCAGACAAGCGAAAATTGTAATCTTTTGTTTAACAATAAAGAATGTTTATAAATTTAATTAGTATCAAATGATTTTTTAACTGTAAATAATTTTAAATTCAAAGTAAATATAGTTGATTTTATATCTTTTTGAAAGGAAGAATTATATAAGTGGACTCAGAGAGACAAAACATATATAGAGTGAGAAACAGTTGAGCGATACTTATTTTTTTTCGAAACAGAAACGATCAATTAAGTATTTCGGCTTTCCTCTCTCTCTCCCTTCTCCTCCTACTTCTTTTTCTTCTTTTTATTATTATTTTTCAAAACAGAAACGATCAAGTAAGTATTTCGGCTTTCCTCTCTCTCTTCTCCCTACTTCTCCTCCTTCTTTTTCTTCTTTTTATTATTATTTTCAGTTGTAGGCTAGAATTTGTGCAATTTCCATTTATATTTGAGACATTAACGTTCTCTGGAATTTTGCGCTCCATCCTTCCGGAACAATGACCGTCTTCCCTATCGGCTGTCGCGGAACCACAGTGGCCGTCTTCCTTATCGGAAGGTGCGGAACCACAAGTCCTACACTCCATCCTTCCAGAACAATGGCAAGACTTGCGGTTAGTAAATAATTTTTTTTTCTCGTTTTTCTTCTCATACTAGCTTTTTACTCCTCCTTACTCCCATTAATCAATTTATTTTATACACATATTACTTCCCTTAATCATTTTATAATATTCTTTTTATTATATACAATGAGATCTTCTAAAAATGAGATCTTCTAAAACCAAGACGATTTAAACATGATTTAATTAAATATAATTTATAATAATTGGGTCGTTGGACTGAGACCGAGGAACTGCTATCGTGCTACTGGCGATTAACCGGATTGCTACTGGTTGGCTGGTTCGATGTAATTGACCTCTCTCTTCTTTCTTCACTCGAGTACTTCTATGTGCTGCTTTCCGAGCTTATGTTTTTTGATAAAACAAATTATTTATCTTCATACTGTTGTATTTTTTAACAAATTTGATGGGTTGGTGATTAAAATATAAAAAATATGAAATATATATAGTAGGCATTATCCAATAATAAATTTAATCGAGCAAATAGTAGTATTTTCCCACAATATTCATAAAGAGTTAAATAATATATGAACATTCTAAAACAAATGACTAGTACAGATAATCAAAGAATCAATACTATCTTTCACATATTCTCCAACAACCATGGCAATAATTTTGAAACAAGTTATTTACAAATTAATACAATACCGTGTACTGTACGGGTACTTGTTAAGAAAATTATTTTTAAAATTAGATAACTGTAACAATATTTTTTTTGTATTTTTAGATATATTATTATTTATATTTAAAAGGACACCGTCCCTTACATGACTTATCATCTTATATTATAATTTTTTAATTTATACGAGATAATTACTTTATACTTAAGTTAGTTTAAATAATTTTTTTTTTTGAATTAATATTAATAGGTAATCTGTTTATTTATTTTGTATGTATAATATAGATGTGAAATCGAAACTCATCAATACATTATTAATTTGATATATATATATTATATTATATTATATAAAACATTGTTAATAAATAAAAAATTTAGTAACTTTGAAATATATTTATAATTCGAGTTAATAAAAAATCAATGAACAAGCAAAAATAGCAGTATATGATCAAACATCCCTAGAAACGGGCCTTACCGCTGACTTCTTTGGGCCTCAGCTCCTCGAGGCCTTGCATAACATGTCCAGTCTCGGGCCTTGCCGCAGGCGAAGGGTCGACAAAATTCAACGCCGGTCTCAAAGCACCGAGCAATTCATCTCCATCTGCTACATCCCTTGACATCTTAGCATCACATTGCTAGATAGCGAAGATCCAGATAGATACGACGGTAGACGGAGAATCTCCGGCGGCGGCTATTGTGGCCGGACATCGGCGGCGACACTCTAACCGTCTGCACTGGGGTTCATTGAAAGGTGAGTTAATAGCGTAATTGAGATTATTTCAAGGGCTATTGATTGCCGATGAGTTACCAGAAACCAGTGGGCAGCGGCGCAAGCAAAGGCGATGAATAATTGAAATGAGGTAGGGTTTGAAGAGAGAGATGGGCATTGAAGAGTGGAGGAAAATATGAGAACAGAGCAAAACGACGTCGTTTGCAGGTAAATTATTGGGCGACGTGGCGCTCTATATGAAACTCATTGCAAATGAGGGCATGTCTTTCTTTTTATAAATAAGAGAATTAAGGAGATAATTTTAATATAAATTCAAAATTTTACTAACAATTAATCATACCATTTTTTTTTTTTTCAAAACTAATCATACCAAACCAAAATATCGATCAAAACCAAAAAAAATAAAAAAAAATAAATTACATCCAAGCATCCTCTAACCATCTTGCCTTACCATATCTATGGTGATCACTTTTATCCGTTACGCAATGAGTTGTCACGAGAGTAATAAAAAAAGGGAAAAAGGTGGTCAATTGGATAAGTGTATTGTTTTTTTTTTTTTTCATACTCTACAAATAAATGCCACGACTTGATAAGTTTTGCAACACAAATACAATTTTTAAATAAATTAAAGTAAAATAAATATATAGATTGATTTGGATAAATATAAACTGGATTATACATTTGAATTGTGTGGGAAGACGAGAGAAAAACTAGTATGAGTCCCGTGCAGTGCACGGGTAAGAGATATTAACTAATATATATAAATTAAGAATTCCTATTAAATAATATTCATAAATTAGAAATATGGAATCAATATATATTACAATTACCTATTATAATTTATTGAAAATATTATATAAAGTTTAAATTGTACAAAATTACATAAATTTATTTATTTAAAATTAGTACACAACCTGTGTGGTGCACATAATGATAATAAATCACATAACTCGCTTTAAAATAAGTATCATTTCAAATTTTTGGTTCACTATAATGTGATTCCATAAAATAGTTATTTTGGTAAAAAGTTACTATGCATTTAACAACCAATGTGAATAATAAGTATAAACATAAAATGTATATCGTTTCATTATTTAAAATAATCTATTTTTGTATAAGCTATTCAAATAAATAAAATAAGCAGTTGAATACAATATTAAACTATAAATAATTGATTATTCCGTTTACGTATAAGTTAATATTGACCTGCAAGTTAATGAGTAATTTACTAAATTATAAATAATTGACTATTTTATTTACGTTCAAGTTAATATTGACCCGAAAATTATATAAAACAATTACTTTTTATTTTTAATTTTAAATAAAAATATATTTATTTTTCTTCGATATATTATATACCAAATTTAAACTATACAACTAATAAAGATAATAGATGCAAGTTTTGTCAATATATTATATTCCAAATTAAAATCATGCAACTAATAAAGTTAATAGCCACAATATTTGACAAAAATAATTTTGTACATTAATTACATTAATTTAGGCGAAAGTTTCAAATTTTGGCAAAAAATATTACTCAATATATTAAATACTTTAGGCGGAAAATCAAATGTATTTTTTTTTAAGTTGCTATTCCAAGTAAATATCATTGTCTTTTTATATTTTAATAGATGATAACATAAGTATAATTCATTAATACACCATAAAATAATAATTTTAAAGTGTTTCCATAAATTTTGGATAAACTTACATAAAATAAAGTTTAAAAAATATTATAAAATATTATTTCTCAATTTAAATATTTTATATATTTAAAATAGTAAATATAAAAGAATATCATAATTAAATATATAGCATAATTTTGTATTTTAGAAAGTTAGAAAATAATACATTCTTACGTAAATTTTGAATTATTAATTATATGAATTTAAAATACTTACAAAATTAATAAATGTGAGACACTGACTCTATAAATATAAATATTATCACAATATAATAAAAATTATTTTAATTTTTTTTTAAAAAAAAAGAATCAATTATATGAAGTTGTAAATAATATCAGTTTTATACATATATACTTTTAAAAGTATAATTAAAAACATCTTTTTGGCAAATTTAGTGTAAAAATACGGGCACCATTTTAATTAATTATCAATTTGTTAGTTATTTATTATAGTTGCATATTCATCATACGTAATTTCACAAAATTAAAATGTAAATTATTTTAAGTTTTATTGAACAAATATTAATTACTTATATGTTACATTTATATCACATCAACTTTAGTTATTATATTTTAATATTATTTTGATAAAAACTCAATATCCTACTCAAACCAAATTCAATCATTTTTTTTTTTAAATTAATTCACTTTATTGTATCCAATTAAACTTAATATAGTGTACTGAAAACCAAAAAAATTTTGTTGACCACACTAGTATGGAAGTTAGCTAAAGATAAGGATGTTAAGATAAAGATGAATCATTTTTCAAAATGCTTGGATTTAAATTTTTTACAAAAAAAAATAAAATTCAAATCTGTTTGTGCGGATTTTTTGAAAAATTTCAAAATAATTTACTATGTTTAGTAATATATTTAGGCGGGAATTTAGAAGATTTTTTTGTTACTATTTTTGAATTATTTAGATTGCCTGTTTATATAATAATAGATATTTTTTAATTATTAAGTTGAGGTAGGTTGAATTGTGGATAAAGATGATCTTATGTTATGGTTTCTATATATCTTTAGCTAGTAACTACTTTATTTTTTTGGTACAAAGACCTTCTGGTTTTTCCGGATCCACAGGGGAACCGACTAATCCGGAATCGAGCCGGGTAAAACCACAAGGGCGGTTAACTAGTAACTACTTTGGTATAATGTATATTTAAAAATTATTTATTTCTCTATACTTTATTTATTTATTTATATTCGTATATAATTTTTATTTATTAAATGAATATAAAAAACACGTAATATTCAATTTAATTAATATATAGATCAATGAACACTTTATTTAATTCTATACATTTATTATACATAAATTTATATTTATATTTTTTTTATTTTTGTAATTTGTTTTCTTAAATTTTATTTAATTTAGTTAATTCATGCATATCTTATGTAATTTATTTAATTATATTTTATTTAGTATTAATTACATTATTTTATCTTTTTTTAATGCAGTTTATGTTATTTTTTTATTATTTTATCTCATTAATTTTACTTAATATATTTTTATTCTTGGTTTTATCTGATATTCAGTTTGATCAACAATTTTTTGTTTTTTTCTTTTTGTACTTTATTTTATTTATTTTGTTTTTCTTTTATTTTTGTCACTTATTTTATTTGATATATCTACAGTATTTTACGGTTTTTACATGTGATAAATAAAAAAATAAATTACAACAAAAAAAATTAACAAAATCCTAATTTATAAATTACATGTGTAGTTTTATTCAAGCTTATATTTATTTTGATATATTATAATTATGTGAATTTTATTTTGATTATATAATTTTATTTTAATTATTTAATTTTTATTTTTAAATTTTATTATAGTATTCGTTATTTATTATTTTTAAATCACACATTAATCAACTAGTACATAACCCCGTGCGATGCACGGACTGTATTTATTTTGGTAAAATTTATATTTAAATTATTAATCAATAAGTTATAATACATAGAGTATTTGTTAGGTAATCGT